GCTGGGCTTGGGGCTCTCTGCCAGCTGGGCTGGTGCCAAGGCAGCAATTCCAGTCCTCCAAATTCCAGAGCTGGAGCAGCTTCCAGCTCTGCCCGCCCAACCTTAACACTTTCACTGCTGCCCCTCTCCACAGCACGGAGTCACCCCTCTCTGTGTCACTGAGCATGCACAAGGCTGGAATAGGGAGTAGCAAACCAGCAACTCAGCAACAGCCAGGGCACAGCCCAAATGGAGGAACAGCACAGGGAACCTCCTGAGATACAGACAGTGAGGCCTTTACCTGTGTCCCTGTTCCCTCATGTTCAAGGTGTCAGTATTTCCCTGCCCTCCAGCAGTAACACATGAAACATGGGAGCAGACTTAAGGGACACTGTTACAGGTGTCTGTGTGGGCAAGATGCTGTCACAGGTATGGATTAAATCCACATTTCTCAGGATGGAGAAAATGAGCTGCTTTTCAAGAGGTCAGGAAGACTGTCACTGCCACAGCACCTCCCAGCAGCAGCACTGTTGGGATTGTGCACATGGCAGCTGACACTCAGCTGTAGGAGGGTCCTGTAAAGGTCTCATAATTTTTGAACCAAATCCCAGCTAAAGTTCTTGATACTGTGGCACAAACCCTAGAAAAATGCCTGCATTTCTCCAAAACGTAAAGCTTGTGTTTCAGTAAGAGCCCTTTCTTGTGCAAAGACACAGATTCTGTGGAAGTTCTCAGATGCCTGAACCCACAATCGCATGGCCAGGCAGAAAGCCCCATCCTGCCTGCCCACCTGGCATGGACAGACCCTTCAGCCATCACCTCCTCAGGAGAAGAGCTCAGAGCATGAGGCCTCCATGCAGAGCTACCTGAGAAGACCCTGCTTTAGCTGCTCCTCCCCCAGGGGCTCCCAGCTCTCCATCCCACAAAGCATTTCAGAAAGGAAAATAACTTCCCATGGATCTTCTTCCAGTGTGTGCTTCCCTGACTTCAAAGAACTGAACTTTCCTCTAGTCTGTGATTGGCAGTGAACTCCCAAATTTCCCATGAATTACAGAGGCAGACACATCTCCTGTGTACAAAACCATGCCTTGGCTGAGGGGGATTTCCCTCATCCCACCTCCCTGCTGAGGGCAGGTGGCCCCAGAAACTACAATTACTAACCAGCCTCTTACCTATTCTTTTTTCTCATTGATTTTTATCACAGTTTTTTCCCTCTTTGTTTCCCTGAAGTTCAGCAGCAGCACCTCCATTTCTGTGTGCATCTCCCTCTCTCTTTCTCCCCAGCCATGATTTAAGATAACTAAAGAACCATCCTTATTCCTTAGGTCAATCCTAAATATTGATTTTCTGTACTGCTTAAAACGGGGAGGGAGTCTCCAAAACAACTTCCCAAAAATTCTTTCTTCACTTATGGCAGGGACCTGCTCTAAGAGTCCACAGGCATCCCAAAGAACAGGATGCTTAGAAAAAGTAAAATGCATGCAGAAGTTTTTTCAAAGCAATGGGTTAGGCTGGGTTGGAGTTCACTTTCTACAAGAACTGGCTGGATGGTCAGGCCCAGAGTGGTGGGGCAGTCACCAGTGGTGTCCCTCAGGGGGGCTGTGCTGGGGCCAGTCCTGTTCAATATTTTTATTGATGACATGGATCAGGCTATTGAGTCCTTCATTAGTAAATGTGCACACAACACTAAGCTGGGAGCGTGTGTCAATCTGTTGGAAGGGAGGAGGGCTCTGGAGAGACCTGAAAGGGTTGGATGGATGGGCAGAGTCCAATGGGATGAGGTTTAATAAGTCCAAGTCCTGCATTTTGGCCACAATAACCCCCTGCAGTGTTACTGAGGATGGTGTGGCTGGACAGTGCACAAAGGGACCTGGGGACACTGCTCAGCAGCCAGCTGAACACGAGCCAGCAGTGTGCCCTGGTGGCCAAAGGCCAGTGGCTCCTGGCCTGGATCAGGAATGGTGTGGCCAGCAGGAGCAGGGAGGTCACTCTTCCCCTGTACCTGGCACTGGTGAGGCCACACCTCGAGTGCTGTGTCCAGTTCTGTCCCCTCAGTTTAGGGAGGACGTTGAGACACTCGAGCACATCCAGAGGAGGCAACGAGGCTGGGGAGGGGCTTGGAACACAAACCCTGTGAGGAATGGGCTGAGGGAGCTGGGGTTGTTCAGCCTGAAGAAAAGGAGACTCAGAGTGACCTTATCACTCTCTACAACTCCCTGAAAGGTGGCTGTGCTCAGCTGGGGTTGGGCTCTTTTTCCAGGCAGCACTGACAGAAGCAGAGGACACAGCCTCAAGCTGCACCAAGGGAAATATTAGGATATTAGGAAAAAGTTTTTCACAGAAAGAATTATAAAATACTGGAATGGCCTGCTTGGGGAGGTGGTGGAGTCACCATCCCTGGATATGTTTAAAAAAAGACTGGATCTGGCACTTGGTGCCATGGTTTAGTTGAGGTGTTAGGGCAGGGGTTGGACTCGATGATCTTGAAGGTCTCTTCCAACCTGGTGACTCTGTGAGATGCCCAGGAGCCCACAGACATCTGGCCACTGCCCACAGAGGTCTCTCAGCAGGCTGCTGCACAGCCAGCAGGCAGCAATGGAATTACCAAGCAGGCATGCAGCCTGCTCCTCATTCCTGTTTGACCTCCCTTTCCTTCTTTAACACACACACGTGCCCTAATGAAAGCTCCCTGGAGTGGCTGGTTGGGCCCCAGCTCCACCAGCTCCCTGCCCAGCCACTCCAGCTAAGCAAACACTGCTGGGAGTGGGAGGCCCTGGAGATGGAGAAGGACCATGCCTGGGAGAACCCCTGCACTCCTCCACCTCTGCTGGCAGCCAGCAGCACAGACACATTAGAGCTAAATGGAGTTAGCAGCATTAAATAAACATGCCTGCCCTCTTTGAAGTTCTGCTTCCCTTGAACATGAGCTCATTCCACGAGGCCTCTTTTTGCTCAGCCCCAGGAAGCCACGGAGTTATTCATTCTCCATGGAGTTAACTCTTCACAGGATTCCCCACCTTCCACAAGGGCCTCACAGGGTCAGTCAGTATATGAGCACAGAGCAGTATTACCACAGCAGCACTTGACTACCTGTATATATTCCCAGTTCTCTTTTAGAGGAGTTCCCACCAGGAAAGGAAATACTCCACCACATGGAACTGCAGGCTCCAGGCTGGCACATGGAGAAGGTTTATTGGAACTCAAGGAAAGGGTGATTCCTCTGTGGTGATGCATCCTCCAACCCTGCCAAGAGCAGCACTCTCAGGTCTGGGAGGACAGTGCTCAACCCTCCACCACAGCAGGGCTGAGGAATGAGGAAACACAGGAAGAATTTCATTAGAGAAAGTTACCAGTACTCTGTTCTTTTGGTTTAATCACACAAAGTGGAAGTCAGAAATTCTTGGGCAGGAAAGGGAGCAGACAGTCACAGAGGGAAAAGTAAAACCACAAAGACAAGGCTGATATCAACTCCCTGGCATTTCTGCGTGCCTCATGCAACCCCTGCTCTTGTCCCAGGAGTTGAAAAAAAAAGGACAAAGAAAGCAGAAATCCGCCTGGGAGTGGGGAGATGTTACTTTTAGGAAGTCACTGTATTTGTACATGAGCAGGAAGTGCAGAGTCACTGCACATGGAGCCAATGGGAAAGCGAGAAGACATCACAGCTGCCTGCCAAGGGGGAAGCACAAGCTTCCCAGGATGGCATAATGGGGTGTTGTTTCTGGATAACTGACTGGGCTCTGCTCACTCATAGCTTCAGCCCCTGGCAAGAGGAGGCTGGGGAGGAACAGAGCTGCCTGTGCTGGGGCTGTGGGTCAGAGGTTCCCACTTCTCCTGAGAAGGCAGCTTCCAACCTGCTCCTGAAACCTTCCACTCCCAGGGTTACTGCCAGGAAAGCTCCCACCAAACACAAACAAGTCTTGAGCCACTCATTCAGTACCTGAGAGCCACCCTGGAGATACCTGGGGAGATACCTGGCTCCAGGGCAGCACTGGAGGAGCCAGTCACTGCCTGAGGGCCCCTGAGAGCCTGCAGCAGGTGGGACACAAACAACCAGCAAGAAGAGAGGGAGTGGCTGGCAACACCAAGCAAAATGTAGGAATCCAAGATAAAGAGGAATCATCTTCAGCCAAGGGAAGCCCACAGCTTGGCTTGCACACAGGTCATGTGAGGTCACCTCAGCAATCCACTGAGACCAGCCCAAGCACAGACCTGACCCACATCAGGGACACAGGGCAGCACCAGCCTGACAGGGCAGCATGAGCTGACCTAGGATTTCCAAGAGGAACAGTCGTGTCAGAGAAATGCCTTTCCTAAGCAATCCTTCGCTCTGGCAGAGAGGCTGTTCTCCTGCCCCTCATTTCACTGACAAGCACATGCAAGGTCCCAGCCAGCAAATGCCAGAGGGATGTGCTTGGGGACAATGACAGCCCCTCTGGGCCCAAACACAACTGTGATGTGAGAAAGTTTGACATGTCTGAGAATCAAACCAGCCATTGCTCAGGCCTTTGCAGGCAGCAAGCTCCCCAGCACTGCTCCTACCCAGCAATCACAGCCCTAAAAACAAGGCAGGTATGACCTGCTCCACACCTGCCTTGTCCATGTTCACAGCATAAGGCACACCAAGAAAACTGTCCAAGCACAAAGAGGCGCAGTCCTGCAGCTTCACAGCTCTCATTATTCCAGGCCCCCTGAGAAAAACTGCAGAGGAAAACGTGGTTCAAAGGCGCAGGGAAGACTTCAAGGAAATTCCTGGAGAGGAGCAGACCTCAGCAATGTTGTACAGCACCAGCCCTCCCCAGAGCCATCATCCTGCCCATTTTATGGATAGCTGCTCCTCAGCACCTCGGTGCCAGGCTGATTCAGTGCTATAGCTCTGATCACCTGTACCTTTACCACGCATGAAGCAGCACAAAAACCACACAGGGCACCCAGGTGTCCTTGCTGCCAGTCTCTGCCTGCTTTGCTGCTCTTTGAGAGCTGAGTGGAGGAGAAAGACAGCTAAGCAACAACGTGGGCCTTACCTTTTGTACCAGGGGGCTGCAGATTATCTCCAGTCAGCGAACACCAGCCTACAGGAAAGATGTCCCGGGAATCATATCGGCACCAGTAATCGAAGGCACCTCTCCAGCCATCAAATGTTATGAGGACCTCAGAACCTCTCACCTCCCCAATGGTGGCCGGGCAGATGAAGTGAGGGTTCTTCCTGTCCACTGCCTCCAGCTTCATACCTGTCTTGAAGAAGTTTTGGGAAGGAGATGGTGGTTCCTACAAGAAGAAGTGGAATATATGCTCAAAGGGGATATGGCAGTGCCTCCCCACACCAGGGCTGTGCCCTCACCTCCCCAGGCAGCTGAAGGGAGTTAGTGGGCTGGATTTGAACCCCAGCAGGTGTGCACACACTGGCTGGGTTTAATCAAGAGGCAGCAAAGTCCACTATTGGCTGCTCTGTGCTCAGCTAGCTGCTGGACTGAGCCCAGGGAGTGGGACATTTCAGAGCAGTGCTGACGTTCCCACCTTGCATTCCCCACTTTGAGCAGCACCTGCAGCTCCAGTGAAAAAGCAGCTCCTGCCTCAAGCCTGAGTGCTGAAGCCCAAGGCAGATCTCTGACTACAGCTTGACCCTGCTGTGACACAGCTGGTGTGTCCTAGAGCAGCCCCGAGGCAGAGCTCTGCAATGTCACCTCCTATGGGACCAGCACATCTCTCATGAGACACCAGCTCTGAGTTTGGTGCTCTGCAGTGAAGGGGTCATTGCCAGAAGGATCTGCACAAACAGTGAAATACCTTGTGAAAAATCCGGACAGGAGCCATCTCTGCTCCATTCAGAGTCTTCAGCAGGAACATGGGCCAGGAGGAGGCATTCAGCCGGAAGCCTGAGGGGAGGGAGGCAGAGATGGAGACTTTTAGACTGTGGGGGTTGATGGATGTGGCAGCACATGCCTGCTCTGATGGGAACTCACACAACTGTGATCCCATACCATCCTCCTCCCATGATGGAGTCAGGTGGGATTTTATTCAGATATTCTTAATGTAAAGCATTTGTGTTATTGAAAAGAAACATCTGGAAACAGCTGTCTGACTGCAATATTCACTGATCATAACAATCCCATTGACCCATTGACCATCCAGGCAGAGCACTTCATGCAGCATCAGTGCTGCCAGCTCCAGTGATCCTGCTGCAGGGGAGACATGAATCAGCAAGTGCACACTCAGGCTATGGAATTTCTTCCTCAACAGGGAATCACAGCTTCTGGGTGGCCTCCTCCACCTCTAGTGTGAGCTGCAGGCAAACTAATCTGAAGAAATAGAGGCTTTGACTTGGCTGGGAAACAGATGTAACCATTATAGGGAAGGATGTCAGATTTTGGCTTGACACCTGCTGTGAAAAAAGTGGAGAAATAACAAGAGAAGGCTTATGGGAAGAAAAAAGCAATTTCACAGGCTCTGAAGAATGTGGCATTGACTATGACTATACAGCCAACAGAAGGCTCTGGATATCACAGAACATCTTCTTTGCTAAACGTGCATCTTCCTGCACAGGCAATTCCAACTGCTCAGCTGTGTTTGATCTGTGTCTGAGGGGTTTTGAAGTTAATCCTGGCACTGGACCTGGACCAAGAACACGGCAAAACTTTGCCAAGGTTGCAGTGCTCAGCACAGGCCACACCCTGAGCTCTGTCAGATCAGTTTGGAAACGAACCCGAATAGCCACAACCACAGGGGATAGGAGAGCTCAGCTCCCAGAGTGGCAGAGAAAACATTTTACATGAATCATAAAATATCCTGAGTTGGAGAGGACTTACAAGGATGATCCAGCCCAGCCCCTGGCCCTGCCCAGACCCCCAGCAATCCCCCCTGTCCATCCCTCGGGGCCGTGCCCATTCCCTGGGGAGCCTGGGCAGTGCCCAGCACCCTCTGGCTGAGGGAAGAACCTTTCCCTCATCTCCAGCCTGAGCCTGCCCTGGCCCAGCTCCAGCTGTTCCCTGGGTGCTGTCAATGGAATTATCTGTGTAAAGAGCAGCAGCAGATGTGTGCACATGGAAAATACTATGGGAAACAGAAAATCCTTGCTGGGTTTTCTAGGCCCTTGAACTCTGCAGGCAGGAAGGACAACTGCAGCATCAGCTCAGTTACCTGTCTTCATGCTGGGTGCAAAATCAATCAGTTCCACTCCCCTGCCATGGGCAGGGACACCTCCCACTGTCCCAGACTGCTCCAAGCCCCAGTGTCCAACCTGGCCTTGAACACTCCTAGAGATGGGGCAGCCACAGCTGCTCTGGGCAACCTGTGCCAGGGCCTCACCACCCTCACAGGGAAGAATTTTTTCCTAATATGTCACCTAACGTGTCTCTGGCACGAAGTAGGTGGCACAGACCAGAGCTGGACACACAGAGCAGCTCTCCCGGACCTGTCCCCGAGTTTGTCCCTGTCCCCCGGCACAGCCAGGGCTGTTCTACCTGCGCTTCGTGCCCTCTGCTGGCCACACCTGGCCACGGCACAGCAGGGACCCACCGGCAACGCACCGGGACAGGACTTTGGAAGAGATGGGCAGCAGAATCACTGAATGGTTTGGGTTGGAATGGACCTTAAAGCTTATCTCATCCCACCCCCTGCCATGGGCAGGGACATCTTCCACTATCCCAGGTTGTTCTAAGCCCTGTCTAGCCTGGCCTTGAAAATATTATTTGGGGATATGCTAATTGAGAGAGAGATTTAAGAAGACACTAAAACTGTTGGGCAGCAGAATGCAAATGCAGATTAATTTTGGAGGAAAGAACCAGAAAATTAGCTTGTCACTGGGCTAGCATCAAAGAAAAAGGAAAGTGTTGTGTGTTTAACAGAACACTGGAAAAAGTGTTAGACTGTCCAGGCTATTTATAATGTAGACAAGCAAAATTAAATAAATAAATATGAACTATTGCAAGCGTCCCTTCACATGAGACAGGACTTCAGTCACTGATCTTTTTCAGACATTATGTTTCCTGTTCAGGTAACCTGGCATTAAATCCTAGAATCACAGGGTAGGTTGGGTTTGAAGGGACCTTAAAGATCAACCAGTTTCACCCCTCTGCCATGGGACACCTTCCAGTATCCCAGGTTATTCTAAGCCCTGTCCAACCTGGCCTTGAACACTTCCAGGGATGGGGCAGCCACAGCTTCTCTGGGCAACAATCCAGAGCTTGAGCTACAAGCAGGGCAAGCAGCTCACCTACACTCTAAGGGATCTCCCTGTCCATGTATCTATGTGGAAATCCAGACCTGGTGTGGTTTATATACCGTGTGTCTATCCCACAGTAGGCAGGTGCAGACCATGGGCCTCTGTCCCAAGCACAGATCTATAAAAACCCCCAATCTTTCCCCACCATCGATTTGACCCTGGCTGGACAGGTGAACTCAGGCTCACCCAGTGGAGGCTGCAGCATCCCTCCATTCTTCTCACAGTTCCCGATGGGCTGGATCTCAGCAGAGTCCACCAGCCTCCAGAAGTCGTTCTTGTTGTCGCTGCCGTCGAGGCGCAGGCGCAGGCGGGCGCCCGTCAGCCCCACCACGGTGGCGATGCAGGTGGACGTGGTGTTCCGGGGGTCCTGCGCCTCCAGCTTCATGCTGATCTTGAACTCGTTTGCAGGTGGAGTGTAGGACTGAAAATATTGGAACAGGGCCCAGTCAGAGCCAGGATTGCCAATACATGCACCAGCTCAGGCACAAAGCTTCAACACTAGGAGCGCCCAAGTGGAGTTTGCTGAAGGCTGACTGTCCCCCCCAGGCACAGCATGGAGCAGGCACCACAGGGAATTCAGACCCCCACTCTTCCATCCTGCATCATCTAGGCAACTAAAGCCTGTTCTTTTGGAATCACAGAATCATTAATGTTGGAAAACACCTCTAAGATCATCGACTCCAGCTGTTTCCATAGTACTGCCAAGCCATTACCCCTAAGCACCACAACTACTTGTTTTGAACTCTTCCAGGGATGGGGACTCCACCAGTGCCCTGGACAGACATTTCCTAGGCCTCATCACCCTTTCAGTGAATGAATTTTCCTGATATACAACCTGACCCTCCCTTGATACAAGTTGAAGCTGTTTCCTATTATCCTATCCCTTGTTCCCTGAGAGCAGAGCCCAAACCCCTCCTGGCTCCATCCTCCTGTCAGGGAGTTGTGCAGAGCCACAAGGGCCCCCATGAGCCTCCTTTTCTCCAGGCTGAGCCCCTTCCCAGCTCCCTCACCTGCTCCTGGGGCTCCAGACCCTTCCCAGCTTCGTTCCCATCTCTGGACATGCTCCAGCCCCCTTGCTGTGAGGGGTCCAAAGCTGATCCCAGGCACAGCCCCACCAGTGCCCATATACCTGCTGCCCAGGGGCTGCTGTTCTGTCACAACAATTGGGTGAATTCTGCTGAAAATCTGATTGAGCAGGATCCACCAAAAGCTGGATCCCAGCCTACTCAGGACACTTTCTCCAAGGGCCCACTCTTGACAGAATAATAGCATACTCGTGTTCCCAACATGCACATCTGAGAGGAAAATCTTCTGTGCTACTCTAAATGTATCTTTTTGATCTTTGCTTCAGCACTTGGATTTCTGCTAAGTCTCCAATATCCTTAAGGATCTTCCATGCCAAATCAGGGGCCTATCCCAGGCACAGAACTCTGGGGACCCCAGTGGACCATAGCCCTTGATCTTTCTTGTTTTCATCCTCTTACCTGCTTGAAACAATGGGCAGGAGCTGGGATGGCACATGTCTCTTTCAGGTACTTCTCCCAGGTGAAGTGACCTGAGAAGTAAAAACGAAAGGATTCAAATAGGAACAGACGAGCAAAAATCTCAGCAAAAGAACTGGCCAGACTCCTAAGCCAGCAGTTCTGCACTTCTCACAGAGGAGGTGCTCACAGGCAACACCAAGAACCTCTGATGACTGTGAGCACAGAAGATTTACAACTGCAACTGACAGGCAGAACAAAGCCCGTGCTGCCTTCGGCATCCTCCTGCCTTGGTGCTGCTGAGAAGGGGCTGCACAGAGCCAGGATAACAACTACAACTTAATGGAAAACACCCAGCACAGATGGGAATCTGTGGGGGCTTCCAGACAACTGTCCCTTAAAAACCATTCATTAAGCACATCACTCAGTCTGGGGATTGCAAACAGTCACAGTGGGCTACGAGCAGCACAGCTTGGGAATTAGAACAAGATTATCTTTAAGGTCATTTCCTAAGCCATTCTGTGATTCAATGATTCTAAATCATGGATTTAGAACAGGAACCTGCTTTGTGGTGACTGGACAGTGCCCCTGGTCCAGCACACACAGAGGCCACCCCATGGGCCAGGGATCAGCCCAACCCCAGCAATAAGTGCACAGGTCAGCAATGAACTTCCTGAAGTGCCATGAAGTCCACGGGATGGGCAGGATGGGAGCAGGGATCCTCCAAACAGGGATTTACTGAGCTCAATACCTCACACCTGACACCAAGCCCCCTTCCACCGAGTGCCACTGCCAGGGGAAGCACATTTCATCCTTGCCTGCACCTTCCTCATGTACAGCAGGAAGGGTAAAAGCAATATGCCACCCAGGGAAATCTGTTATTAAATGAGGAATTAAAAGCTCCTGTGATCCGAGCAAATCATGACTTTTGCCATTTAAACTGAGCAGCTGGGAGAGGAACCTTCCAGCATGACATTCACTTGTATTCATCCAAACAGCTCCCAGGAGACCACTGTTTTCAAGGCATTTCAAGAGCATTGGTGGCAGCACAATTAAAGTCAGCCACTGCTTCCCTGAGTCACTGCAAGTTCTTAATCAGTCTATTTTCAAAACAAAAGCTACATTAAGAGCCATTTTAGCTACTGCAGCACACACCTCTGAAAACTGAGGCAGTAAGGTCAGCACACATTGCTTCAGTGCTGCCTCGTGCACAGAGGAGCCTTCATAATCTACAAGCTTCAAATAAATACAAGGAATGCTGCTTTCTCACCACCTCCCATGCAGATGACTAGTACACTGTTAAAAATGGGGAAAATGAACAGAAAAAATTCAGTTTCATTGCCACACTGGCTGAATATTGCTGTTTCCAGACTGACAGCACTCTCCATGCCCCAGAGTCCTCAGCTCCATCCACTGGAAAAAATTTTCCTTTCAGCCACAGTCTCACACTGGGTGAATGAAGAAATTCAGTGAGTTACTGCAATTATGCTCTCACAAAACCAAAATTCTTTTGCTTTAATTGAAGATAGGATTTTAAACTTGGTTCTGTCAATGAAACTCTTTGTATGAATAATGTGGAGTAAACACTCAGGCAAAGAAAGCCAGGCACTCCTGGCCTGGAAATGCCTTATGCATCCCACCCCTTAATTCTGGTAGCTGATCTGGGCCCATCTCACACCAGGGTGGCCCTTCAGAGGAACACAGAGGGTGCCCAGGTGACAGAACTGGGTGGGCAGTGCCAGTCTTAGCCCTGAGGCAGCAGCTTGAACAGGATCAGCTGTGCTTGACAATTTTATTTAAAAAAAAAAAAAACTCCCCTCAGTTAGTTTCAATCTATCACTATTAAAAGTTGTCATGGTTTTAATCTTTCCACTTTTCACTCCTTCCACACCAAGCCAGGCCTTCCTCACCCCACAGCAGAGATCCATGCTTCACAACCCCAGCAGGAGCAGAGAATTTCTGAGACAGCTGCAGGCCTCTAAAAATAGCATTTGGACATGGAACTTATTTGAGATTAATTCTAAAGCCTGCTGGGATTCAACCACTATATGAAGACACACACAGCACTAGAACTGCAGCTTCTCTAGGACCTGAGGGAACAGCATGAAGCTGGGCCAGGGCAGGCTCAGGCTGGAGATGAGGGAAAGGTTCTTCCCTCAGCCAGAGGGTGCTGGGCACTGCCCAGGCTCCCCAGGGAATGGGCACGGCCCCGAGGCTGCCAGAGCTCCAGGGATGGACAGGGGGGATTGCTGGGGGTCTGGGCAGGGCCTGGGTTGGTGTGGATGATCCCTGTGGGTCCCTTCCAGCTCAGGATATTCTGTGATTCACTCATTCCTATGACTAATGGTTCTGGTGATTTATATTGCAAAGAAAAGCAGGAGCAGCAGAAAGACTTCTAAGAAAAGACAAAGCTGATACAGCAGTGTTCAGCCTTCCCTCCCTCCCTCCTTCTCTGTTCACTACCAGCCATCCCCTTAAACACAGGTAGCAGGGCAAGCAGGTAGAACCTGCACTTCTTTTTCAAGATTACCCTCAAACCAAGGTAAAAACTGCAGACTGCAGTTGGAAGCTGCCACCACGGCCTTAGCATGAGAGGAAACCCTGCACTTCAGGCCCTTGTCCCAAGTCCCTCTCTGCCTCTCTCCAGCACATTGGATCTTCTTCACAGGAAGAAATGAGAGAAGACACTTAAATGAGAATATCCTGTTTTTAGAACTACATCTGTGAGCCAAACAAAAGCCAAGGATTGGGAACTCGTGTGGCTCCCTGTGACTTGGCTGTGGAAATGCCACTGGGGTGACTGTCTGTCACTTGTGCTTGCCTTGGGAAAGCTCCTTGTCGTGTGCTCATGCCAAAGGCAGATATTACTTCCAGGCAGAGAGTCAGATTTGGGCTCTGATGTCTTAACCTTCAAAAGTATTTACTCCAAACAAAACACTCCACACACCCAAGGGGTCAAACTGCAGTAGTTGTGAACAATGCAGCTCTGCACCCTCATGTTTTGATTCTCTTCATGTTGCATTTAACATTGATCCTTTGCCCAGAATTTAAATGAAGATGGAGTTTCTGTTTATGTCTTTAACTGAAGTCTGGTTTGGGCTCCATTAGCATTTTTGGCTCCCGAGGGGTCATCAATCCAACTGAAACAATACATGTGTGTTTCAGGTCACATCTGTGAAGGAGAACGTGCCCTACCCAGATCAAGGCATCCTATTAAAGTCTGCAGCCCATATGTGTGGCTGCACCAGAGCAGCACATGAAAGCAGCACAGTTTGAGCCAGCTCAGTATGAAAATGAGCAGAGCAGTCTGTGCAGATCCAAGGTGACAGTGGCTGTCCCTGATGTCTGAGCATGGCCTCCCAGGGGCCAGCTCTCCCACAGGCACAGCTCCTGCCCCATCCCAGGTACTTTGCTCAGCCATCAATCCAGCTGCCTGTGCTCCACTGCTAACAGCTACAGTCGGTAACACGAGCCCCATTGCTCACTGCCCTGCTCAGTAAAACGTGACAATGTGCCAGTCAAAATTAACAGCTCTGAAACACCAGGGTGAGGTCTGGTCTGTCCTGCTTTCCTCAGAGGTGTCCCAATGCAGCTTCGACCCAAAATCCTTCCAGCCTGGATTACAGGGTGCTCCATGTTAGAAAGATGCTGCAGTTTTACCCCCTCACTGTGCAGAATCACAGAAATGTTTGGGTTGAAAGGGACCTCGTATTTCCACCACCTGCCATGGGCAGGACACCTTCCACTGCTTTCTCCACAGGTTGCTCCAAACCCTGTCCAATCTGGCCTTGGACACTTCCAGGGATCCAGGGGCAGCCAGAACTTCTCTGGCCACCCTGTGCCACCCTGTGCCAGGGCCTCCCCACACTAACAAAGAAGGATTTCTTCTCAGTATCCCATCTAACCCTGCCCTCTGACAGTGTGATGCCATTCCCATTGTCCTGTCACTTCAGACTCTTGTTCAAAGTCCCTCTCCAGCTCTCCTGGAGCTCCTTGAGGCACTGGAAGGGGCTCTAAGTCTCCTCAGAGCTTTCTCTTCTCCAGGCCCAAACCCTACAAGGATGTGCCCAAGCTTTGAGTAGTAATGAACTGCTCAGAGTTTCTTGCAGTGACTGCCAATCCTCACTGCTGCACCATGCACTTGTCAAAAAAAAACCTTTGGAAATCGTAAAAGGGAGAAGGGAGGGAGAAAGAAAGCAGGGAGGAAGAAGGGAGCTCTCTTACCTTGGTACTGGGAAGGAGACTCTGATGGGCGGCTGTACTTGTGCTTTTTACCATCTTTCCAGTCTATGGCTGAGACAAGAAACAGAGCATTTGTGTCAGGGAAAGGAGCCAGATAATGCACCCTTCTACACTGTCTGTTTTACAGGCACTTCAGAGAGCAGTGACCTCCCTATCATGATCCCAGTAACATGGATGATTTGCCTCTGTCTCTGGGGTGTGCTCCCTTCATCCCCACAGCTCATGCAGGTACCTGACAGGAGATTCCTACATCTGCACCTCAATCCCTGTTTAGTTCCCACCAGCCACTGTTCTCCTCCAGTAACAAGCAATAACAAAGAACAGCAAACTGCTAGAGCTCCATCATTGTAGCTATGAGAAAGGCTTGAGAGGACAAACATAACAGCCACTAAAAATGGCTCATGTGAATCTTTGGTGCAGAATGGCTCCTCGTGTATCAACTCCAGGTTATTCCACACAAACAGCCTCAACCCTTTGTGGTGACAGGGAGAGGACTTCTCTGAAAATCTGCAAAAGTGCCCTCTCCACACACAACACCAGGTTTCCTTGTGTCCTTTGCAGCTCTGAAGAGAGCACAGCCAAGCAGCAGCAGCTCTGTAGAGCAGCTCACCTGAGCTGTCTTTGTTCATGACAGCTTTGGGTCTCAGAGCTCCAAAAAAACTAAAATTCTCAAGACAGCTCTGGAGAGTGATAGAGCAAGAAGTGGGGAATGCTCATCCTGGCCTCCAGGAACCTTCATCCCAAAGGAGGGATGAAGAATCCCTGTGCCATGGCTCCTCGACCTGCTGCTGCCAGGCTGGGCACCCTGGGACTGCTGCTGCACAAATTCCTTTATTTCAAGACCATTTTTAGGGATATTTTAGACAGCAGCTTGGTGATGCTCTATGCAATGTGCCTTGTCCCCATGAAAAGCAGTTCCTCGTGAAAAGAATAGTTTTTAAATCTCCTGACAAGTAGCTGGAAGAGGCAGGCTAAGAGCTGCTTCTAAAGTGACCTGGGGTGTCTTAACATGTCTGGAATTGCTTTGGGACAATTATTTTTACAATCTTCTTGACATGTTCTTTTCAGCACAATGGACAGGATAGAATGGAGCTTTTATTGCTCTGGAAAGTGATAGAGCAAGAAGTGGTGGATGCCCACCCTGCCTCCAGCCCAACAGAGGGATGCCAGATCAGCATCCCTTACATGAACACGAGGGACATATGGAGTGTGGCCACAGCATCAGTAGACATGGGCCAGACAAAGCCTCCTTGGAGAGACATAAATGATGAAAAGGATTGAAGGACACCCTTCCTAATAAATGCATTACCACGAGGCACAGTATTGTGTCATCTCCCTAAGAAAGCAAGAATAAAGGACATAAAGTATTTAAGTCAGAAGCAAAAGAGCCCCCTGGGTGGGTAAGGCTCCCCTCAGTGCTGCAGGACAGCTCTAACACTCAAAGGAGCTTCTCACCATACTCTGCAGGTGAAGGTACATTTTGTTCTTAACCTTTAACATGCAAAAATCCTCATTAAGCAGGATACAAAAGCAGCAGAGAAAGAGCGAGAAACAAGAATTTCTGCAGACAAATAAAGAAACAGTGCAAGTTCAATGCATTATTAAAAAAGCAGGTAAGTAGGACAGAAACCCACACGTGCACGGTGCAGGTGTTGCCTCTGCAACCTCCAGCCTGGCATTCCAAGCACAGGTCACAGAGGCAGCCTGGCTGGAGGCTCCAGGAGCACACAGAACAAGCTGTGAGTGAGGCTGAATCCAGGCAGCCTGGGCCTCGGCCACGCTGCTGACTAATCAACCAGCCTCCTTTATTGCCAAGCCCTCCAGCTGCCTCGCAGCAGGGTCTCCCCATTCCCTCCTTTCCTTCATTTATTTTCACATCATTAAAGGACAAGCAGTGTTAGGAAGAGGATAATGCTGCTGTAAGATGAACCATGACAGAAGCAAAGGAGACATTTAAAAAAAATAAAGGGAGGAGAGAAATCGAGCATAGAAATCTCCTGCAATAAACCTTGGGAGTGTGGAGCAGATGTGAACAAAGAGCTGTGGAGGATGCTCCATCCTCTCACTTCTCCCTTCCCCCCTCCTCCTGAGTGTATGTGATGAGATCACTCCAGTCAAACGCACATGCATGGCACAGCACTAAAGGAAATCAATATTTTTGTTAAGCACAAGAAGCCAGAGCAGCTCAGCTGCTGGCAGCCTGCTCTGCTTCACCCTTTTAGCTGGGGATGCAGGACCCAGGAAGCCCGTGCTGTGTGAGGGGGCTCGGTGGCAGGGTAACCTCGTGGCACATTTCCTCTCCACAAGGCAGGCTGGTCTCTGCTTTCACACCTCATTAGAGGGGGAAGCCTGTGCCAGTTTGCCTCATGCTGGGAGCTCTGCCAGATGGTGCCCTGGGCTCTGCAGGGCACCCTCGCTGCTCACACTGTGCCCCGTGAGCTGCAGGGATGCCCCAAAAAGGATTCTCCTCTTCCTGTCACAGGAGGGGATTGATGAACTGCTCTCTGCACACTGATTGAGAAACACACAACTCTGTTTTGGGCTTCCAACCACATCCCTTCAGCTCCCACCCCACTGTCAGCCCTCCAGGCCACACCAGCTCCCTGCAGGGCCCTTGGCTGTGCCAAGCATCACTGCTCACCTTTCTGAGGGCCTGGTTTCCGCATTCTACCACCTGCTGCTGTCTTTATCCCGGGAATGGGTTGCTCTTACAGAACTGAAGATGTCTAGGACAAAAGAAATAAAGATGAGAAAATTCCCCGTTCTGGAGAACACCATGAACTCACCACACACGCTCTGTGCAACACACACAACTCATTTCACCCCCTGAAACCACAAGACTTTCTCCAATTTGTGGACAACAAGTTCATGGCAGCAGGAGCAGAGTAAATAAGCACAAGGAGCACTTGCCTATCTCCGTGCTAACCCTACAGCAGGTCCGGACCCTGTGTGTGAAAGGAGGGGTTGCTCCCACTCACTAACAAAGGGAGGCAGAGCTGGAATTTATGAAAGAAAACACATGGAAACATAACATTAACTCTGGCAAAGCAGCACAGCAATCCAGCTTGCCACTTACAATTCAAATTGCTCGCAGCAGTTCTGGGGAATAAGGATGAGAAATTGGACAATGACCCAGGAAATACTTTTGCTGTTAGTACTGCCACGAGTGTCCAAGTTGTGATGCATTTCTTTTCCCCTGGTTGGAGGAAAACTGGCTGGACTGTGCCCAACAAGCAAAGGCATTTACATTCTTGTTATAAAGAAATATTTCTGAAAAATCAGAGCTTTTGGGAGATGTGTGCTGGACATGTGCAGGGACCCAGCTCTCCAGCACAGCCACTCTCACAGGGCAGGGCTTGCCACACCCACAAAGCCCTGCCAAAAAATATCCAAATGAATGGCTGAGCCACAAACAAGCTCTTGGGAAAGCCAGGAATAGCATGTTTTGACACTCCACTAAGTAATGAAAGATTAATTGTATCAATATAATTCCATTTTGTTCACAGTGGGACAGTCAGGAGGAGGAGGAAGCTGTCTCAGGACGAAGCTCTGAGTAGCTGCTTAAAGGGTTATTTACAGATCCAACTTGGCAAGAATTTGAGGTTTTGAAAACCAGGCTTTTTCTAAATGTAAGAGAACTGGAGTTTAATTTTCTATAACAGCTCTACAAACTACAGCCTCTTTACATGCAACACTGAGCAATACTCTCAGAAGAAAAATACTGAAGGAATATTAAATACTGAAGGAAAAAAATCCTGTTTTTTTTTTAAATCCAAATCAAAAGGTGCACAGTAGTCACTTATTGCCTCTCTCCTAAATAGTGTGTGTGTGTCTGCACACACTTGTGAAAGGAGTAACGTTGGTTTCCTCTTCAATAGCAGAAGGTAACCTACATGTGAAAGGTTATTTACAACTTTTAAAGCTTCTTTTCATAATTTTCTTCAGTCATTTTTATTAAAGACTACCAGTCATGGCAGGAGAAGTCCCCTTGATATAAAAACCCAGGCTGAAAGGTGTTTATATATAAAGGCACCCAACAAGTATTCACCATCTCTTGCTCTGCCCCTCTGCTGTCTGGGACTTTTTCAAGTACTCACACACATAAATCTCATGTGTTTGCACGGGAGTTCCTGTGCTCCTCTGAGAGTTTCTGAAAAGCTGCTGCAGCCTGAGCAGCTCAGAGTCCTGCTGGGCAGGGACGTGTGACCCCTTCCCTTCAGAAGCATTAGGAGAGAAAAAAAATGTGACTGTGTTCGAGCTGCTCAGACAGGCTTTGTGAAAGGTTAAGGCCCAGGACTCCATCCTCAGAATGGCAAACCCTAATGAGGTTCAGGGGGACCTTCTCACCCTCCACAACTCCCTGGCAGAAGGGGGCAGACAGGCAGGGGTCGGTCTCTTCTTTGAGGGACAAGTTCAAGAGGAAATGGCCTCAAGATGTGCCAGGAGAAGTTCAGGTTGGGCATCAGGAAGAGTCTCCTCACAGAAAGGGTTGTCAGGCATGGGAATGGGCTGTCCAGGGAGGTGCTGGTGTACTGAAGAAATGACTGCATGTGGCACTAGTGCTCTGGTGCAGTGGACATGGTGGTGGTTGGTTTTGATGATCTTGGAGATACTTTCCAACCTTAATGATTCTATAATTCTGTGATACTGGTAAATCACAGAGCTGACTGCTGGCATTCCTCAGCCAACACTGCAGCAGGCTCTCAGCAAGATCTCATGTGATGGAAGAGAATCAGATGTTGTAAATGTCCAATTTAAATAAATAAATAAACAAATGGTGACTATTCCCCAGAGGAGGAGACTTAAGCTGCGTGGGGAGTCCCACTTTGCTGAGAGCCACAAGTGCCAGCTCAAGGACACTCCACTCCAAAATATGTTCCCAAAAAACTGTCCAAATGCAACAGCCCCAGCCTGACTCCTGCCATGCTTCATGAGCTTCTGACACAGCTCTGCACCACCCAGATCCCCCACACATCTCACATCACAGGACAGCAACACGTGGGTTAATCCTGCAAAACCGTAACTCAAGGAAAAAAAAAAGCAAAATAATTCGTGTGCTCAGAGACATGTAATGTCTAGAGAAGAGGCAGAGCCAAAATCTGTGATTCACAGCTTCAGCCTGCCTGTCCCAGGGGCAGCAGATGGGAGCCAGCACCTTTTCTGCATCCCAGACACAGGGACCAGCTCCTGCCTTGGGATGCAGGGATGCTCTTCTTCAGCCATGGAGACCGACGCTGTGTACCCCAACCCTCCTGAAAGTGGTACAATCACAGCTGGGAGGGAGCCACAAGGATCACCAAATCCAACTCCTGCCCAACAGTCCCACCCTGGGGGTGTCTGAGAGCATTGTCCAAACACTCCTGGAGTTCTGGCAGGCTTAGGGTCGTGACCATTTATTTCCTGGGGAAAGAACCTTTTCCTTATATTCAGCCTGACCCTCCCCTGACACAGCTCCAGCATTCCCCTGAGTCCTGGCCCTGGTCACAGGGAGCACAGATAGGAGCTGCCCCTCTGCTGCCCCGGGCTTTACTAACACAGGGCTTGGGAACTGATGATTTCCACTGCCTGTAATTTATAGTTGCCCAGAGGAGTTGTAAAATCTCCACCCTTGGAGATACTCCAAACATCACCAGCTCCCTCCCCTGCCAGCCTGATCTAACCTTGTAGCTGACTCTGACTTCAAAGTCAGCCCATCTCTGCATGCAGCATTGGACCAGACAACCTCCAAAAGCTCCCTCCAACCTGAAACACCCAGGGACTTCATCTCACTGACAACAGGCTGGATGGCAAGAGGAATCACTCCACAGGTTTTAACAAGGCTGAAATGCCCCAGTGAGGAGAATTCAGTGTAGAGAGAAGAAAGTCAAAGGCAGAACAGACAAGCTCACAGGCACTGCAGGACAGGAGCACTGTGGTACCAATGGACGTGGCCTTTACTCCATTCAGGGACTGAAGACTGAAAAAATGTGAAAGTAATAAACAGCAGCACCTAGTCTGGTATCCAAGGGGCAAAACAGGGCTATCCAGAGACAGATCTTCCAGAATCACCTCAGGCACAAGCATGCCCCTGATGAGGGCCTGGCTGGATCCATGGCATGAAGGACACAATCTTACTGCTGCATCAAATAAAGCCTTTGAGATTTCCACATGCTGCAATGCTCCATCTCCAGAGCCTGACACCAGCACAGAGCTGCACACCAGAGTTAAAACTCCCCTTGTTTTCAAAAGCTGTCTTTCTCTTGCTTGTGGAGATCAAGATAATCTCCCAAGCATGAACTACAGCATTAGAGAGTTGGTTTCCAGAATTTATAAGCTGAAAGGACAGAACAACGTGCAAATTCATTCCAGCAGGATGCTACCTTTAAAAATGTAAAAAGACCAACTGATTTGCTGCCTTTAGTAGCAGATGAAGTGCCTCTCCCAGAGTTTCAAACAACTTTCACTCACCGAGATATCAAAAGTGCCAAGGGCTCCACTGAACTGTCATGGGCTCTAGTTCCCCATCACTCCTACAAGACAGCAGAGTCAGTACAAACACTGCGGCATAGCAAAACCTGAAAGCAGAGAGACAAAATGAAAAAGTTTGCATTTAATTGCAGAAAGGCTACGTTGCCAGCTGCATTATTCATGTTCATATTTAATTCATTTAAAACATCCAAATTTAAATTTAAAGACAGCTGTAACAAACATTCCCACTTGCACTCGCAAAGCAGCACAAAACTTGACACAATTTAAGTTGAGCTTGCAGTGAGTACACGGGACTGCGGCTGTTAAACACCTTTGATATGAGTAAGATCACATCAACTGAGCTGATAGAAACTAGTTCAGCTTTTGTAAAATGAAACTATCACACAAAGGAGGATTGAAAAGACTAGACCTGATTAGTAATGAAAAGGAGAGAGACCACAGGAGAGGCATATAAAATAATGAGTAGCATGAAGAGAGAGAACTGGGGACTCCAAATTATCCCTTCCCAGTGCAGCAGAGCAAACCTACAAAAGTAAAAAATTCCCAAGTATACAGCAGGGAGAAGGAACAGTTCATTGGAAAATAACAGACATTGGAAACTAACTTTCTTATGGAGGAAGTTATCAAAAGAAGTAAACGAGTAATCTTACAGACATTAAAAAACAAACCAGTATTTGTAAGGGTATCAAAGTATGAGACCCACGGGCCATCGGTAGCCAGGCCTCAAGCAAGAGCTGAATGAAGGCTGGGTGCTGAGCCAAACCCTGCCCACCACCTCAGTGCCACAGTGCTGTGCTGTGGCAAAGCTGAGCCCTTGCCCTCCTGCCAGGCTGCTGCCACGCTCACAGCCAGGGGCAGGACATGGTTTGTTCACACCCTGGTGAGCCCTGTGCTGGGTTACACTGACATTCACACCTCTGATGCATTTTCTTTTTTCCCAGGCAGCAGAGAGGCAGCCAGGGCTGGAAGAGCAACCCAGGGCATCCCCAGCTCCGAGCGCTGCTCTCTCCAGCACCACACAGCCCCCAGCACAAACACTGCAGAAATGCATCTTAATCTAATTAAGTTCTCCCCCCACTGCTCTTGCCAACAGGCTCTTCCAAAAGCTCATCCCTAAGGGTAGATGGATTCAATTTACCTATGCCAGATTGGAATGGAACTGCAGGGTTAGAGTGGAGCCTGCTCTGCAATATTCTTCCACAAAATGTGGCAACTGCCACAATATCAGTAAAACAAAAATGAGAGAAGGTGGATGAAAGATGCTGTCCCATCTTTCCAGATCTCATGAGATGCATGTAATCCCTTTATCTGCAAAGCCTCCACTCCTTCAGAGTGCATAATTATAAAAAAGAGTTAGAGCTGAAGCTCTTAATGTCTCTTCTAGGCACTTCTTTATTCCACTCAAGGCACTAGTCATGTCTGAATTACTTCCTGGGGTTGTTTGGACTTCCTATTATACAAGGATGATTACGGTGAACCTTGGGATGGAATCCAAGTCGGATCTCAGCACTACCATGTTTGATTGAAAGGGAACCTGAAGGTTTGTTGATGGTGTGCCAAGCTTCAAACCTCTCCAGACAATGCCACTGCCAGCAGGACAGAGGCTTTCAGAGAGAAGAGGAAGAAAACCACCAACAGCAAAGCTGGAAAATGGTTTTATTAGGTCACATACATACTCCACAGATTAGGACTGGGGGAAAAATAAAAAAGAAACTCTGCATATTGACAGAGGACTGTGAGAATGACAATTCTTGGAAATCCCATGAGGCTGCCATAAGAAAATCCTGACAGTTTCTCATGATGAAAAGTGCCTGCTGTCATTGATTTGTTCCCCACAAAAGCACAGGTCTGGAGACCATGACCACTGCAGCCACTAAAAATCCCTTCCATGTAACCTCTGCTTCAGTTGAGGTTTTTTTCAATGTTTCCAGCAGTAAAGAGCCGTCCCTTACAAATTCCCTCAGGAATTTGCCTGTCATGGGTGATGGCAGAGCTGCCGTTCCAGCCTCCCTGCTGGAATGTTTCAGCTCCATTCTGGAAGCCCCTATGTGACCGTGCATTACACAGGCACATCCTGTGGCATCCCAGCCCAATCAGAAAACCAGGCACATGAGGAGCAGATCATGTGAATTACAGAATATCCTGAGTTGGGAGGGATCCATAAGGATCATCAATTCCAACTCCTGACCCTACACAGGACACCCCAAGAATCCCACCCTGTCCCTGAGAGCATTTTCCAGCTGTTCCTCGAGCTCTGGCAGCCTTGGAACCATGACCATTCCCAGGAAGCTTGTTCAGTGCCCCATCACCCTCTAGGGGAAGAACCTTTTCTGAACTCAGCCTGCTTGCTCATTTAGCACCTTTTTTACCATTTTTAATTTCTCTGGTGGAGCAACAAAAGCACTTTCAGCCTACCTGAGAAATCAGAGGACTGTCAGTGCATGATCTGACACCTCTTACTGCTTTTAGTTTTCATACCAGACTTGGTTCCTCAGATTTCTGCCTGACCTGTGGACAGCAGAACTTTTACTCGTCTAAACCACAGTTCTTGCTCTCAAGGCATGCTCTGATGAGCCAGCTGACTGACTCCTTTCCTGGGCAGAAGCCAAAGACCAGCTCCCAGGACTGAGCACCAGCCTTCTTGGAGCCAGACATGCAGGTCCTAAACCAAAATGCCAAATGAATGCTTGGGAGATGAAGGAAACTCTCATGAGTGAGCAGCTTCCAAGTTTGAAAAGGTGAGTCAGAATTTATCTTAACCAATGATTTTAGTTCCTTCCACCTCCCTGTTACCATCCTCCTGGGCAAGACTGGAGTTTTATTTCTCCTTGTTTGTGCAAAGTCACATTTTTGGCAGCTCTGAACGAAGGCTGATGAAGATACAGCACCTCTGGAAGCATCTCCCCTCATCAGGTCTAGAGAGTCCTTACATTCATACCAGGGAATATTTCTAATTAACACTGTACAATGAATGCTGGTACTTCCAGCTGCAGTACTGATCCCCTTGTGTGATCTGAAATACCTGATGGCTGCAAACCATTACTCCTCTTTCTACCCAAGGATTTTCTGTCATTTCCAACATCTCTCGTTCTCTGGAATTAATTTTGTCTTTCTGCCATGTAAGAAGTGGACTGATGAACTCCAGACTTCATGACAGGCTCCTCACAAACACATTCTTGTGTTAACACACTGAGGTGTCTCAAAGATGTGATCACAACTAACACACTTCCTCAGCCCCTGAGCCAAGCCTCAAGGGAGTACATATTTTAAAAGACAAAAACATGTGGAAAACTTGGATAGACCATGTTTCTACAATGCAAATATCGATTTTATGACTTCCTTTTGAACACCTTCAGGTTGGTGGGGAGAGGAGATAAGTCAGCCTCCCAGGAAATGGCAGCTGGACCACCAGACACTGCTGAGTCAAGCTCAAGAGATCACCCTCAGGGTGAGTACAAAAATCAGGGATCAGAGACAGGAACCACCACTGTGAGCAAAGCTACAACAGTTACCACTGCTCATGATCATGGAAGAAATTAAATAAAGCCTTGCAGGTTTCAATAAAGATTTCCTTCCCTATAAAAAAAATTTAAAAAGCCAACAAAAACCAAAAAAAAACCAGCATGGGCCTTGGATCAAACCAAAACCATCCTGACATGTATCACTGTGAGCAGACTTTGCTCTCCACAAAGACTGAAGAGGCTGCAATAAAGACAACATATTTGGCACACTCCAGGAATAGGATACCCAGGCTAAGAGAAATGGAGAGATGAAAGGGCTTAAAATAAAAATCAAATAAGATAAACTGACTTGAGTCTGCTAAAGGAAGCCCCTTAACAGGACAAATTTTCTCAGTACAGACATATTTACTGATGAGCTGGAGTTACAGCTCTGTGGCTGCCATTTCTGCAGTGGCTGGGGTGAGCAGTCCAGCCCTGCAAATCTTCATTAGAAAGATGGGGCTTGACTGCTGTAAGAACACACTGTTGAAAAATCAGAGCTGCTTTGAAGACTGGTACTGATTAGTTTGCCACTCACTCAAATAGAAAGAAACCAGTGCAAAACCTAAAGCTTTCCCATGCAGGGTAACGTGGAGTCATGGAATGGTTTGGGTCAGAAGGTATCTCAAAAATGCTCTTGTTCCAGCCCCCCTGCCATGGGCAGGGATTCACAGCATGCAGGGGATCCTGTGCTGCTCCTCCCCACACAGAACCATGCCCAAGGCTTGGATCCAGGGCCTGGGCTGCCTCCCACTGCCATGGACAGTGAGTGAACTCGTGCTGATGTGGTGCAGACTTTAGCTAATCATACAAATCCCCTGTGGTAACAGCTGGGGTTAAGGAAGCTTCACTGTGCTCCAGAATTATTTCAGGAAATCTTTCATGGCTGGTCCTACTGTTGAAGTCACTTTGAGGTTCTGCCTCTGAGGTGAGCAATGCCCATGTCTCACATCCCAGTGTGAAAGATGCCACCAACACCACGGCTCTCCATAACTGTTCTGAAGGGGTTTTGGGAAAAGCTGCAGATTTCTGTTTCTGGGTGTTAAGCAGAGACATTTTTGACCTGTACCACCACTGTACCTCCAGGGAGCTCTCCCAAATGCACTGTAACAAAACTCAACAGGCAGACTGGCTTTTTGGGCAGGTAAGGTGCCCGTTATATATAGAAAAGCAAAGGACTGATGGACTTCAGTGCCATATGGGAAGAACATGCCAAAGCAAGGAACTGGATCTGTGTGCCCAAGGCTGCTGTTTCTAACAGTGAACCATCTGTGCTACAGCTATTTTGTGTCAGCAGGACTCCCATAGTTAAAAGTTAAGTTAAAAGTTAAATTCTCCTGACTTTAGAAGAGGAATGGTCTGGGTTATAGACTGGCACAGCAGAGTACCCAATCCACTGAGGACACCTGGAAGTAGAGAAGATTTATCACACATGGGGGTCTGTAGCCTGATCCCAGCCAGCATATTCTGACTGTACCCTGACACCCTGGTGACAGGTCAGGTCAGGTTTGCACATACCTGAGTTTCCTTTCATGCAATCTCAGAACATGAGGAGGTGCAGGATATGGTGCACCCCACACTCCTGT